AAAATGATGAAAAGAACAAAACTGTATGATATAATAGATTTGTAAAAAAATTGAGACACGGCGGGCACAAAGAGGTGCCCACCACTGGTAGATTATTAGCTGTGGCGGGCATTTTGTGCCGCCCGTCATCGGATTTCCGTCCCTACACAAAACCGCTCACACCCGCATGGGAGTTACCTAATCCCCACAAACCCTATCCTCTTTCCCCCCCAATATATCGTCGCCCATGTTGTCCGATGTCGCCATTGTCCTCGCCGTCTCCGCTGCCATCACATTCCCCGTCTCCATCATCCTCATCGTACCAGTCGCCACTGCCCACACTTGACGTCCCCGTTGCCAGCACCCACCCTCGCTGTCTACCATAGTAAGCACCATTCTCTCTGCCCCTGTCGCCATGGTAGATATGGACACACAAGTGCCGGCGTCGCGAGGGGCAGGGCGCCACTACGGCCACTCGCAACCGCCGCACACCAAAACCACGGTTTTTATTAATTATAATACATATTCTTCTAGTAATTTGGGATTGGCAATAATACCATATTTGTTCCAATAATATTTTGTAGTTGTTATAAGATGTAGGGTGGCATATTTCTTCTAGTAAAAGTTTGTAGTAGTTATAACATGTAGTGTAGCATATTTTTTCTAATAACATTCTGCAGTTTTTTTTAACACAATACAAACGCAAGCGCTCATATACCCGCGCATACACTCATTCCTATAAACTCCGAAAGACTGAGCCGGCGTATCATCTTGAAATTTACGAAGTCACCGTAGGCACCTCGTCATCGACGGGAACGTCTCCTCCCACTAAATGCGCATCGCCGGAAATCCTGAAATAAATCCAGGAATAAATGCGAGTACCAGGACTTCAATCCTGATGAGCTGAGATACCACAGTCCCTCTAACCATCCAACCACAGGTTGGTTCGCACATTCTATAGTTGTTTAAAGATGTTTTTAAGTGTACCATATTTTATTCATGATACAGGTATTCATAATGAGTGTCACCATCTTTGCATTTGATTAAGTTCCATTTTGCCAAAGTTTTGTCACTCAATATGTCTAAATTTAACAAAGGTCATGCCAATTTTTTCTGTTGATTTTTAACTTTTTATATTTATTTTAGAGTTCTCTCCCATTGTACATGTTAGGGCCGACTCCATACGTAAAGTTCCGTGGTGTTTTTCAACGGCCGTGGGCAAGTGGACGACCTATAGATAGTCCTGGCCATCTCAGGCCCGGCCCTGTCGGCCCACCTAGGCCCGGCCCTAAAATCCAAGGCCTAGGCCCGATGGGCTTATCCGTGGGCCAGGCTTGGGCCTGAGTTTTGAGCCCATCAGCAGGGTCTGGACGGGGTTGGGCTTGACATATTGGCATTTTAAGGAAGAGGCCCGGCCCACGGCCCTAAGCCCTAAGGGCTTTTCAGGGCTTTTTACGAGATGTGTCGGGCTTGGGCTTGAAAGTAGGCTCGCTGATAGGGCCTGGGAGGGCCTGGGCTTTAGTTTTCTGCCATGGGCTTTTTTAGGCCCGGCCCAAGCCCGGCCCGCCCGGCCCATGGCTAGATATACCTATAGATAAACAACCAGGTAACAAACAAAAAGCAATGGCTCGGCTCGTTCGCCACGGCTGAGGAGTGAGGTGGCACGCGCATACAATTGTATGGCGATTGAGCACCAAGGGAAAAAGGCGGAGGTCTAACTTCCCTGCCTATGCCTGGCGCGCACGTGAGCGGGCGCCTTCAAGTATGACTGTATGAGGGTAGCTTTAATGGCGGAGCCAGAAAAATTGTATCAACGGGATCGAAAGATGTTAAAACTGTTTGGACAGGGCCATGCCAATGGAAAACATGCATTTGACAGGAATTAATCACTAATTTTAGCACTATTCATCAGCAAATTAGCACTATATCTCTACTATTAGGGGAGGCTAGGGCCCCTGCTGGTCCCCCTGTCTCCGCCACTGGGTAGCCTCCAGGGCTGGGGAGTATGTAAAAAAATGACATTTTCTGATTTTCTCGTTCTTTCATTTTTTTAAACAAGGCAATATGTTTGCCATTTTCATTGAATAAGAGCATCTCCAACGACAACCCGCAAAAATCCCATCGCTTTCGTCCCCGGACATGGGAGATCAGTCCGCAGACACGAATGCGGGAGTACGATGTCCAACGCTAGCCACATATATTTCAAACCGCATTTTAACTAACCGGACGACATTTATGCAAACTGGCCGATATTCATCAAAGTTCGGATAGAAAATAGTACAAATCATCCATATGTAGCGTACAAATTAAGTCTAGTACAACAATGTCTTAAATTCGACTAGATCCCGGATCTCCAGCAAGTTTTACTTGAATGGATCATGTCGTTCCACATAATTAAACTCCTCCTTCAGCTTCATCCAGCAGTGTGTGCACGTAAATGGCCATCCCTCTGTCCTATGGTACACCACGTCGGCGGAGGTGGAGGGTGCGGGTGAATGAATCAATCAACAAGTTGAGCAAGAGGAAGTAAAACTTACGATCTCGTCCATGTCCGCGTGCAATGGCCACCTTGCCTCGAGCTGACTAACCAAGTTGCAAAACTTGATGATGCTGATCCGGATAGCGCTTCAGCGACACGACAACAACCTCACTTTACGTGGTTGAATGATGTAGATGTCGTAGGGCGCAACGTGCTTTCGTGCATGAAAGTTTTCATGCACTTGCTCCCAGAAGGGCTCCACTCTGCTCCTGCCACGCATCATACAACAACTCATCCCCATGGTCGAGTAGCTCACCATCCTTCATACTCTAAAAAAGGACATAGCATTTGAAAATAAGCTCAATGACATTTGACCGAACACCTGCCGAGCGTGGTGTCCGTAATGGAGGTCGCCGACTGGGGGCGGCCTGTAAGTGGGTACAAACGACTCCAGGGTGAAAAGCTCCGTCGAAACGGCAAGCAGGCGCGTCGGTGCTGGTTGCGGACGTCTGACAGTGCCTCTGTGACCGTCGAAGACGAACTACAGCGGCGGCGGAGGTGGAGGGTGCGGGTGCAAAGTAAGGGGGAGAATGGGCGAAGTGGAAGGAAATTGAACCGGGAGGGGGGATTGGGTGAGACGGGGGTGTCGGAGTCCTACGTTTCGGGTGTCCGGACTCCCACAAACCTCCCACACTTTGTTTCCAATTTGCGGGAAAAATCGTGTCAGAATCGCGCCACGAACAGATATAAATCGCTGTTGGATAATTTCCACGATTCGGACAGCACTGTTCGAAGGTTCGCGGGAGGTTTGCGGGTTGGCCATGCCCTAAGAAGAAGGGCTTTTAGGAGCTGTTTGAACCACGCGCCAATTATTTGAGGGACAAATCGGCCGCCTGCGCATCGCCAATGAATTGGCTACGGATTGCACGGGAAAGCTGGCTGGGCTTCTGGCGAGCCAAATTATTGGAGGCGACTGGATCACGCATGTCAAGCTGTACACGCCGTCCCTTCTCGTGTGCGCCATCAGGCCATCCTGGCGACCCTATTCTTCTTGGGTGCATTATCTTTTCTTCTTTCATTTCGAGAGATCGCGATGATGATGTTGTATAGTACAGTATTAACAAAAAGCTGGTGTGACCAATAAGCATTGTGTTACTGTCTGATGTACGTAATAAACAGTTTTTTTTTTGAAACTGTGCTTTCGACGTACAGGGCAGAAGTAAAATGCTGAAAATTCAGAGGAAACCAGACTGTGGCAGAGCTTCCAATCATTCAAGTTAAAACCAGTTAATTTAAGCTTAATTACTGTACATTCATGCCATTTCAGTCTAACTCAGACAAACACAGCTAATATGCGCTTAGCCGCCATATACGTACAATATAAACATCATACTCCAAGAGGAATTCTCAACATTTTTTTTTTTGAATTTTCACCTGGGGAGGAGGGGAGAGCCCCTCAACCACCTGAATCTATTTCATATCATCATCATCATCCCTGCAGCATCTGAGGGTTGCTGCAAGGGTCGGGCATCCGTGTCTAAAGACCACATCGTTCCTTCGTTGCCACAGGCGCCAGCAGCAAAGAAGGATGAAGGCCGACGGGGAGGCCGCGCCAACGGCGGTGGAGGCATCCAGCAGGTGAAGCGCTTTGACCGAGGCACCGGTCCGCGACACGCCGATGCAGCGCCAGAACCGCACAGCGAACGGGCATTCAAACATGAGGTGATCAGCCGTTTCCAGGATAGCAGGACAGCAGGGACACCCAGCGAGGATAGTTTTGCGGAGCAGGACATCCCTTGTGTTGATGCGAGCCATAGTGAGCAGCCATCCGAAGAATTTGACCCTCGAGGGGGCAGGAGAGAATCAACAGTTGATATGAAGATATTTCTCAATCAAAGATCCGCAACACTTTCTTCGGAAAAACCTCATAAAAAGAGAGTGCCAACACATAAAGACCATGAAAGAATTCGATATTTATTAATGAAGTAGAAGTCTGGAGAAAACTTTATCAACATTTCCTCTGTTCACAAGTCTTTTGTGATTGGACATTGTATGGTCTCCGATATATGTTTTTCGTTTTATAGATATATAGAAATTCCTATCGGCTTCAGCGTTCAGGAATTAGATTCTTGAAATAACCCAAAGAGTCAATGCATTAGCTGAACACTGCATATGAATAAGCTGCCAATGATTTTCGTGTGATACCATATTTCACTGAATATATCTCAGATAACCTAATAATAAGTCCAAAAAAAGAACTAAAACCTAACCGACCAATGAACCTACCTTCAACAGATTTCACTGCCCAACAAGGCAACAACAGCATACAAAAAATTGAAAGTTTGGAAACTAACAACCTCTCAAGTTTGAGGGAAGATTGAACATTCAGAGTCCATGGTTGGTATATCACACGTACTACAACACCATTAATAGCCTGAACCTGAACTCATCCCCTCTTGACCATCTGCAGCTGCTTCATCAAGGATTTGCTGAGCGACCTCCAATAACCAGTCAGTTCCTCGTGCAAAGGATACAAGTTTGGTTAAAAAACATGAGCCATGAGGCCATGGCTTGGCATTTCGTAGCAGCAAACTCCGCGCTTGACCATCCTCAGCTGCTTCTTGCCGGAGCCGGAGCCGGTAGAAGTCTTGATGATTTGCACGGCCATCAAGTGGATGAAGTAGTGCGGGCGGCCATCGACCCTGTCAATCATCAAGACAGTCCAAGCAATGCAGAACCTGCCGTCCCCGAGGTAGACCAGGCTGCCTTCCGGCATGAGGCCGCAGACGTTGCCGTTCTCACGGGCCCAGCTCGGGAATGTGTCCTCCCACTTGTACCGGACGACCGGCGGCGGTTGCTGGACGTCGACCGCCACGAGGCAGCGGTCCTTGGAGCAGAGGCCGAAGCAGAGGTTGTGGAGCTCAGGGACGAACACGGCGCGGTGGTGGAAGGGCAGCTGCCAGTCGCCCTCCTTGCGCCACTCGCGGCGGACGGTGTGGAAAGAGTAGGTGCCCCTCTCCTCCGCCGAGACCCAGATGCGCGCGTCGGCGGTGAAGTAGGCGGCGAGCTGGCATTTTATCTGGAAGCCGTTGAGGCAGCGGAAGTCGGGCGGTGGCTCTGGGAGGGTGCGCCATGAGCTAGAGGAGCAGTCTAGCCTGAGGCGGGTGCCGCCGGCGTCCTGGATGAGGAGGGCGCAGTCCTCGCCGGAGGGCTTCCCTTGGTCAGACCTGTTGAGACGGCATTTGAGCGCGTAGAGCCTGCGCCCCAGCGGGATGACGAAGGTGCCGCCGGTCTTGTCGTGCTGGAGCTCCGGCCCCGTTAACGTGGCTCCTGACCTCGTGTCGTACAAGACGGTGCGCTTGAGGTTGCTGACGCCCACCAAAGTGGCGCCGTCGCCGGCGAGGGCGAAGTCGATGCGCTCGGGGTTGGCGAGGGGCTTGGGGATCTGCCCCATGGGGCTGGGGAGGGGCTTGGGGATCTGCCCCATGGGGCTGGGGAGGCTGCGGATCTCTACCGCAGCCCCTCTGGAGGGGCCGGACTGGAACATATGCTCGATGTTCATGCTGCACACAAAATAATCAGGCTTTCTATCCTTGATCACCACAAAGAGGCACTTCCGCTGGTTGCCGGCGGCCATCCTCCAGCGATCTCTGTTCTGCCGGCAAATTTCTCCGTCCGGACCGGCGGAGCTGGTTGCCCGAGCCCCTTGTTGGACTTTAATAATGGGGTTGTCCAAGGACGGTTCCAGCTCCTCAGTCCGAATCGAATCGAAAGAAGAATAAAAAAACGGAAATGTTAACGCCCACACGTGTGGGCGTTGACCATCTCGATCACACGCATCCATCACCATCCAATATTATATGCACGAATCTTGACACAATCTGGCTGATTTTCTGTGCCACGTAGGACAAGGCGTATGTGTGGTGTGTGACATAGTTCGCACACATTCGTTTTACCACACGGAGGGGCCGGTGTGTGGGCGTTTAGCAGTTCACCCACACATCAGTTTTCAGTCACGCACAAGGGCTGGTGTGTGGGCATTTGCCATCTCGCCCACACGCCCGTCTTCTCTCCCACACATAAGCTGCTAGTTGCCATGTGTTTTTGCAGCGCACATGGCAACTGCCTCTAGTGTGCTTTATAAGCAGGTGACAACTCTCTTTTTTTACCCGAGTTGCCATGTGTTTTTGCAGGGTACACGACAACTGCCTAGTGTGCACGTAAGCAGATGATAACTGTCTTTTACCGAGTTGCCATGTGTTTTTGCATGGTATATGGCAACTGCCCCAACGTGCACGTACATGGCAACTGTCCTAACGTGCACGTAAGCAGATGGCAACTCTTTCTTTTTACATGGCAACTGCCCTAGCATGCTTGTGAGCACATGGCAACTCTCTCAACTGCCTAGTGTTAGTATGTGGCAACTCCTAAAGTTATGAAATCATGCAACTACATTAGATCAGACCATACATGGCAACTGTAGTTGAGCAACCATGGCAACTGCAGTTGTCCGACATGGCAACAGTAGTTCAGCGACATGGCAACTGCAGATAAACGAACATGGACGAGGGTCTGGACCATGGCAACTGCGGGCGCGCGGTGGGCGTCATGCGTCGCGTGCGGGACCAGAAGGGTACGAGGCCTGACATACGGGCGTGTGGGCGTTATCAACTTCGCCCACACGCACGCGTGTGAGAGGGTTCAGGAGGAAAAAAAGATGTGTGTGGGCATTAGTTGTTTTGCCCACACGTAGGTGTGTGGGCTGGTTGCTGTCCATGCCACACGAGGCGTGTGGCACAACTACCCGATACACCACACGTGTGGCAGTTATCGGGACCCTAAAAAAAGGGTACTTTCCCCTTGGACTCTCGCTTGGTCTCGGATTCCTGAATCCTGGACTCCTGGTGGCTGGTGGAAACAGTTCCTCTCCGACTCTGAAAATCTGAAATGAAGATGGATCCACGCCGTTGGAAGGCAGAATCAACGCCGGAAATCGCGCCGTTTCGGTTCTCCGCCGGCGGCAAACTCCTCCCTTCCTCACCTACGCTTTCCCGGCTGCAACCGCCGTGGGCTCGCTATAGAGGGGCAGAAAGCGGCTCCTTGTCGAATTCCTCGGCGGCCAAATCCTCCCTTCCTCGCGGCAGCAAACGGCTTGAGGTCAATGTAGCGGGGCGAGGGAGGCGGCGCTAATAGGGGGCGGCGGCCACGAAAGCGAGCCGTCGAGGAAGGGGGACGGAGGCGGGTGGTGTGAGGAGATCTTGTGGAATGAGGAAGAAGAGACACCGCGTCTGGAGCCGCGCAGATTCTCTTTGTTTAGGAAACCTAGCTTTTTTTTGAGAACTACCTAGCTTTCTAGCAGTATATCAGGCCAAAGCTGGCCTTGTTTTTCTTTGAGCAAAATGGCCTTCTTTGGGATAAATATAGAGTTTTATTTGCTTCTGTCTCATTAAAACCTTGAGAAGTAAAAGAGTGCAAGCCATGCTATAGAATTACAAAAGGATAAAGAAAATACAAATCGAATTTTTACAAATACTACAACTACACGGATCCTTGCCCCACACTCGCAGCCTTCTCCTCGTCCATCTTGACGTGTGCTATTTTGTGTCTAGCAGGTGGGTCCTTTGTTGTAAAAATAAATAGAAAAATAACAATTAATTGTTTTTCGGCTAACTGATTTAGCGAGATTTCTTTTCATAATAGCCGGAACTTGAAATTGGGATCGTCCAGTTCCCTCCTAACAAAGGGAATTGGGAATGTCGGCGTAGGGCCCTCCTTTCATACCACACCCCCCCCCCCCGACGAGTCGAGAGGCCACCACGGAGGTGAACGTGGCTGCGATGGTATGGCGAGGCCACACGCCTTGTTGAAGGGAGAAGTCACACGCTATTGCGGTAGTGTGAACCATGGGTGATTTCAGGTGAGATCTGTTTACTGAAAAACATCGTAGCAAATTTTAGGTGCATTCTATTCATTTTTCATGTTGTGCATTCAATGGATCGTGGATGGATTACTCATGGAATGAAGCTGACGCGACCATACATGGTTGGCATGAATCGGGTTTATATGAGGTGTCACGTAAATGTCACTAGAATGCCCAGGACCTATACGAGGTGGATCTATCATGGGGAATCAGGGGATGATATGTCTCCGTCGTATCTACTTTTCCTAACGCTTTTGTTCTTGTTTGGGACTCTAATTTACATGATTTGAATGAAACTAACCCTAACCCAGAATGACGTTTGTTTTCAGCAGAACTATCATGGTGTTGTTTTTGTGTAGAAATAAAAGTTCTCGGAATGAAACTAAACTTTTTGGAGAATTATTACAAAAAATATAAAAAATACCGGAACCAAGAACCATCGGAGGGGGCCCTTGGGCGAGCACAACCCACCAGGGCGCGCCCACCCCTCCAGGCACGCCCAGGTGGGTTGTGCCCACCTGGTGGCCCCGCAGACCCTAATTACGACTCCATAAAATCCTATTTTTGGAGAAAACAATCAGGGAGAAAGTTTCATCGCGTTTCACGATACGAAGCCGCCGCCACCTTCTGTTCTTTATCGGGAGGCCAGATCTGGAGCCTGTTTGGGGCTCCGGAGAGGGGGATCTTCGGTCTTCTTCATCATCAACCCTTCTCCATCGCCAATTCCATGATGCTCCCCACCGGGAGTGAGTAATTCTCTCATAGGCTCACTGGTCGGTGAGGAGTTGGATGAGGTTCATCATGTAATCGAGTTGGTTTGGATAGGGCTTGATCCCTAGTTGATATTGTTATGACTTTGCCATGCTTAATGCTTGTCACTAGGGCCCGAGTGGCATATTTTCTCCATTATATCAATGTTCTAGATCCAATCTTGCAAGTCATATTCACCTATTACGTGTTATGGTCCGTAAACCCCGGGATGACAATAGTCAGAATACTTTCCGGTGATGATCGTAGTTTGAGGAGTTCATGTATTCACTATGTGTTAATGCTTTGTTTCGGTTCTTCATTAAAAGGAGGCCTTAATATCCCTTAGTTTTCCTATGGACCCTTCTGCCATGGGAGGGTAGGACAAAAGATGGTATGCAAGTTCTTTCCATAAGCACGTATGACTATTTACGGAATACATGCCTACATTATATTTATGAACTGGAGCTAGTTTAATATCGCCCTAGGTTATGACTATTATATGATGAATATCATCCAACGAATTCACCGATCCAATGCCTACGAATTTTCCACATATTGTTCTTGCTAATTTACAATTGTTGTTGCTACTGTTACACTTGCTACAAAATCATTGCTATCACTATTACCGTTACTGCTATTGTTGCCACTCACTAGTACGCGTCGGTCCTAAACAAACGGTTTTTAACCCCTTTTCGCGATGGCATTTGGAGCCGTCACCAAGTGAGTGTGGGCGATAGGGGGGTCCTTCCCACACGACCCAGAAACCGTCGGGGATAGGGCCCCTACAGTACTCCTACTCGTTTCTGCTCGCATTGCCATCGCAGTCGGTATTCTGTGGTGCTACGTTTACGATGCGCGGGCCATCACAAACGGTTCACTATTATAGAACATGTATGATGCGCGACCCATGACAAACGGTTCACCGTTAAGAAGATTAGCTAATCGTCGTACGAGTGTCGGACAAGATTATGAAACGTCGGACCGTTGTAACATCATCGTACACGACAACTATCGCACACGCTATTCTGTGGTGCAATGTTTACGATGCATACTTCATCAGAAATAGTTCATGGTTGCGAATCGTGTAAGATAAGGCAACTGATACGTCTCCAACATATCTATAATTTTTGATTGCTCCATGCTATATTATCTACTGTTTTGGACTATATTGGGCTTTACTTTCCACTTTTATATTATTTTTGGGACTAACCTATTAACCGGAGGCCCAGCCCAGAATTGATTTTTTTTTCCTATTTCAGTGTTTTGAAGAAACGGAATATCAAACGGAGTCCAAACGGAATAAAATCTTTGGGAACGTGATTTTCTCACCGAATGTGATCCAGGAGACTTGGACCCTGCTCCAAGGAACAAAAGAGGCGGTCACGAGGGTGGGGGGGCGCGCCCCCTGCCTCATGGGCCCCTCGGTGCTCCTCCGGCGTACTTCTTCCTCCTATATATACACACGTACCCCAAACAATCAGAACAGGAGCCAAAAACCTAATTCCACCGCTGCAACTTTCTGTATCCACGAGATCCCATCTTGGGGCCTGTTCCGGAGCTCCGCCGGAAGAGGGCCGTCATCACGGAGGGCTTCTACATCATCCTAGCCCCTCTGATGAAGTGTGAGTAGTTTACCTCAAACCTTCGGGTCCATAGTTAGTAGCTAGATGGCTTCTTCTCTCTCTCTGAATCTCAATACAAAGTTCTCCCCCTCTCTTGTGGAGATCTATTCGATGTAATCTTCTTTTTGCGGTGTGTTTGTTGAGACTGATGAATTGTGGGTTTATGATCAAGTCTATCTATGAATAATATTTGAATCTTCTCTGAATTCTTTTATGTATGGTTGGTTATCTTTGCAAGTCTCTTCGAATTATCCGTTTGGTTTGGCCAACTAGATTGGTAGTTCTTACCTTGGGAGAAGTGCTTAGCTTTCGGTTCGATCTTGCAGTGTCCTTTCCCAGTGACAG